ACTACTTAAAGATCAAAAGATTGAACTTCTGCTGCATTATTCATTTTGTATCATCAGGACAGCCAAGGGCAATAAAAATGGGCTTACTTTGTCTTACTCTTCTTTGTTTATAATTTGATAACATTAATGGGATGAGAAAAATAATAACCCCTTGCAATTGGAAAAATTAAATAAGTCCATTTTACAAAGCAGAACTGTTTCTCCAGTGCCAACAAATTACCCTAATTTTGCTCAGATATAAGAGAGATTGTATTACAAAATTACTTTAAACTTCAATAATGTAATCTTGGGTATGTAACTTATAATAGATATAAATCACAGTGGCAGCCCTGAATGTGCTATCTGTAGAGCCCAGCACATGAAAACCAGTGGTCCAAATTGCTCACAAAATTGTATTCAGGCCCCTGTTGTAACTAGTTGATATGAGCAAAAAGCATCTGTGAAACAGCTTACCTTTATAAGGCAGTATAAAACAACGCTGAATATAAGTAAAGCATCCCCATATGTGTTGTGCTATTGCCTTTCCAAAGATTTCCTGCTTGTATCTACCCAAATTTGCTTTAGCTAGATCTATGTATTCTTTGGGGATTTCTGGTATCTCTCTGAATACGCTGAGGCTGTTGATGACTAAGTGTCTATTTTCCCTGTGTGAACAGGTTTTTTCCTGTTACTGTTGTTTGAGGGCAAGTTTGGTTTTACATCAGTACCTGGCAGCTGAAAAAATCATATTTACATGTGCAGACACTGATCACAACCAGTCACCACCATAACTTTAGAAATACTTTCTGTGCATAAACAAGGCCAAAAATAGAACAGTTCTGACTCTTTTCCTCTCTTTCTTCCCCTGACTTCTTCAAAATACCTGCAGCCTGTTATTATCCTACTACACAAACCATGTTTTCCAGGCTGGCTGTGCTATCTTTAACCTCTTCCTACCTGTTTGTGATAAAGTCTGTTTTACCACAGTCTTTCCTCTTCATGCTTCTCCTTCCTATCTGTACTCTTGTTCCCCCAAGAAGATGCATCAATCCGAAGCTCCTTCACTCTCAGGATCTTTCCCCCATCCTGGTCAGCTTCCTCCAGATATTCTTCTGGTGCTCTGCTTAATCTGCCCTTGTAATACAGATGTTTCTGTTGTACAGATTTAATCTTATTCTCATAGGCTTTGAAAGATTAATCCAGTAGGATGGCCGTTTGCTGCTTCCTTCAGTGCATCTCCCACCTCCTCCTTTGGACTGATTCCACCAAAAGTCTTCCTTAAAATGGGCAAATTTTAACTTTCTCATTTCTCCTCCAAGGAAGACATTTTCAAGGAGCTGCTGCAAATGTTTCTTTGTCAGAAAGTTTCACAAGCAACACTTCCAAAATTTCCTTATCTGCTCTCAGCATTGTGCTGTCAGGCAACCCTCACTGGTCTGCGCTGTCAGATGGCAGAGCATGTCACTTTGTAGATGGTTATCTCCAGGATGTTATCTCCAGGATGTGCATGTTTAGCTTTTCTTCGCAATAAGTATTAAGTACTGCAGGTTGAATCAAATTTAGGAAAAAAAAAAAAAAACCCAAACCAAAAAACCAAAAGAAAACAGCAAGTGAGGGCTTTGAACATAGAGGAGGCATATCTGAGTTTCTTCTGCTTGTTTTTCTACAGTGTTTCTCGGTAGTTTCTGCTCTGCCATCAGAATGACCTGTCCCTCCTTAGATGTTGCTGATAATTACTGTCATGCAATATCTGGATGGGTGCCACATTTTGCACAAAGAGGAATTATGATTACTTCAGGCAAAATAAGAATTACTCTGCTAAATCTCAAGTATTTTAAACAGACTGAAACACTGCTGTCAATTGCAAGAGACATATAGCCAAACTAAAAATAAATTTATTATGATTATGAGCACCCAGCAAAAGAATCATAGAATCACAGAATGGTTTAGGTTGGAAAGAACCTTGAAGATCATCGAGTTTCACCCCCCCTGCCATAGGCAGGGACACCTCCCACCAGACCAGGTTGCTCCCTGAGTCCCCTGAGGTGACTGCTTAGTTCTGTGTGTGTGATTCTTGCTGCCTTACTTCAGAGAGAATGCACAATGTAAATGCCTAAAATCTTCTGAGACCAAATAAATTTCACTTCATACATTTTCAGATAGTAACTTCAGGATATTTTGAAATAATCAGAAATTGACCAGGATGTAACTCCAGGCATCCCTCTTTCAGATTTACAAAGAAACTTCATTGCTGCTAGAAACACCTCCTGTGTCTTCATTGACATTATTCAAAATCTGGGAGTGATAAAAATTTTGCTTTCAACTATCCCACAGGGTAATTAAACTATTATTAGATACATTTAATGGCTTCTAGTTGCCAGCATGGTTGAAATATTTTATTAACTTAGTTATCTAGCTAGTTTATATGCTCCCCAAATTATTCTTTGATGTTATTTGAGCATTCAGTTGCTCGTTCAGATCGGGGGAATGCAGAATAAGGCATCCTCCACTTCCTTATCTTTCAGTTTCTTTTGTGCTGAATACAAGCCTGTATTTGTGCTTGGGATTGCCCTGACCCAGATGTAAGACCTTGCACTTGGCCTTCTTGAACTTCATGAGGTTGACATGGACCCACCCCTCCAACCTGTCCAGGTCCCTCTGGATGGCATCCCTCCCCTCCAGTGTGTCTACCTTGCCAAACAGCTTGGTATCATCAGCAAACTTGCTGAGGGTGCACTCGACCCCACTGTCCGTGTTTGCAACAAAGATGTTGAACAGTGCAGGTCCCAGTACCGACCCCTGAGGAACGCCACTCATCACTGCTCTCCACTTGGACATTGAGCCATTGACCGCAACAGTTTGAATGCAACTGTCCAGCCAGTTCTTTATCCATCAAGTGGTCCATTTGTCGAATCCATGTGTCTTCAATTTAGAGACCAGGATATCATGTGGGACGGTGTCAAAAGCTTTGCACAAGTCCAGGTAGATGACATCAGTTGATCTTCCCTTGTCCACTGCCTCTGTAACCCCTTCATAGAAGGTCACCAAATTTATCAGGCATAAAAGAGGCAAACTTGTAAGAAAAGGTATATGATATACAGAGCTGACACTGGAACAGTAAGTATCAACTCTTCTGATTTTACTTCCATAATATTTTAGGCAAAGATGTTTGACTTTGATCTGAAACCATTTAATATTAACAGGAAAAAAAAAAAAAAGGTTTGGAGGTATATTAACTCATCTGTTCCATGTCTTAGTTCTTTTCTGCAAATATCCTTTTAACTGATTTAAGAATTTGACAGTCAAAATACAATTAATTCAAGTCAACACATTTCTGAATCTTGTTCAGATTCTGGAGTTGACTCTGTGGGTTAACTAGAGTTCTGCTTCTTAGAGCAAACTAGAGTGATTTAAAAGTATAGTAGAACGATCTAGACCTACCTTCACCATTCTCCTGGTGAATATGTATACCTCATATATACCAGGGCTACTATAATTCTGAAGCACAACATGTCAGATAGTCAGGGCTTGGACAGTGCTGAAACCCCGAATATCCTGGTCAACTATACTAGGCAGAAGCTTTTACCACTCTCCCGGTATAAAACTTGGATGCAGGACACCAAAGGGCCAGACTGATCAATACTATTGAGATCCAGCGGCCAGATTTGCAGAAGAGCAGAAGAGGTGAACTAGTGACACTCTGGGCTGTGGCTGTTGTTGCTTGAGGAAGAGGATCTCTTCTCCCATGACACTGTGGTTTGCTGTTATCAAAGTCAAAAAATAGTTCTGTGAACAACACTGAGAGTTTATATCCTTGCTCTTCGCTGGCAACAAGTCTGCTTACTTCCAGCTGATTCTCTGGGCTGCTCTTTAGGAGCTCCGGTAGAAGTTTCTCAAAATTATTTCCTAGGAATCCAGGCTACATCTGAGCACAAGACCTCTTCGTTTCCTTCACATGCACCTCAGTACAATAACTAGGACTCTTTGTAGTCACTCAGACCATTAACATTCCTGTTAATCCCTGCTGTTTAAACTGGAGGCTTTTTCCTTCTAATGGCAGTATTTCACACTAACAAGAAAGAAACATTTTGTTCTGAAAAGAAGTTTCTATCCTCCTGATTCTTATTATTTTATCCCAGTGAGCACAGTGTGAACTCAGCATAGTCCTCTCTTCCACTTCTAAGAGATTTGAGAAACGTTAGAGATTCTACTATCCTACAGATATTTTTGCTAGGACACTTTCGGTAGTTCAAAGTTATTCCTGCAACTGTGAGTCATACAGTCATGTCAAAACACAATTTATTAAAATGACAGCAGTTTGCATAATACATCTATTCATGGGTTACCAAACACCTAAAATATTTAATCCCGACTACTAAAATCAAAGCACTGCAATGCAAAAGCCCCTCTGAGTTGCCTGAGTCACGCTTTCTGTTGGCAATCTATTTCCTTTCCCTTTTTCTCAAAGTTTCTCGGATATCTCTTCTGCCCCAAGCAGGTTTTCTTTATGCCCTATTCTCTTTAGCTTTAAGAGACAAACGTCCATTATTATTGGGGGTCTCATTAGCCTTTTGAAAAAGCACTGATTGAACATGTATACCACCTGTAAGAAAACCGTTTCTATTCAGTACCCCAAGATGATTCTCCTTTTATTCTGGTGACTTCTTTCCCAAATCACCAAGTAGCTCTCAAAAGATTTCCCACCTCTGGTCTCCCAATCCAGCATTTTAAGTGTTAATGAATTTCCATTTGCAAGTCCTTTGTTCTACTGTAGAGGTGTAAAGTTACCTATTCAGTCATTCATTTCACATTTTGGTCCCTGAGGCAGCAGAATGAATTTGCCTCAAGAAAATGGTGTAGCAGCTGAGCTTTGATTTCGTATTATAAAGACAAGCACAGAATCCTTGTTGGCATAAATTCTGTTTAAGATATTGGGGCTATTCTGATTTATTCCCACTGAGGATTTGTCTCAAAGGCTTTACTCTCACCCTTTTTTAACTTTCTTCTGTTTTCTTTTCTAGGGCAACAGGCTTTGGCTTTTTGAATGCACTATGCAAAGCAGCAGCTGTACTTGGAAACTTAATATTCGGTTCCCTTGTTGGTATCACCAAAGCAATCCCTATTCTCCTTGCTTCTACTGTTCTAGTATGTGGAGGTCTGGTAGGACTTCGGCTTCCTGACACAAGAACCCAGGTGTTGATGTAACTGAAAAAAGCCATTTACTATTTATTTCCTTCTTCATACAACTCTCCTGACTGATGGTGCAAAGGCTTCAGATTCTCAATGCTTATTAGAGTGCTCAGATGTCAGAAATCAAACTCAAAAGTTACTTTGGAATGGCAGAGATTTAGAAACCTCTGTATGAAAGTTTTAAATTTCATTTTTGTATGCTTGCATACATTGCTATTCAAAACCACTTAACTTCGAACTGCAAAGCTACCTCTTAAAACACTTTCAGTGACATGTCCAGGAACATAAAAACCATACTGATAATTTGATATTTAAAATGCAAGCAGTCATATCATTTAAAAGTACATGCTAAATTTGGCCATGGCATTGTGAGCTTTTGTAACAGTACAGACATGCAAGTCAATTAGTAGTAGTGGTGCAGAGAGTGTTAATTTTACATATATCAATGCATGCAGCATTAATCGGGAAACTACAGACCGCATCAGTATTGAGAATACTGACCTTCTGTGGCTGTGCTTAGGTGGCAAAGACTTGTGGCAACGCCTCTTTCTTGGGAAACTTTTTTAGTTAGATTCAATTTAAAGTAAAGGTTACCAACTACATCCTATATTTGCTGAGGAGAAGGCAACAGCTACTGCAAGGAGATGAAAAGCCCTTATGGCTAAGCAGCAAAGAAAGTAACAAAATAAGCACTTTTGCTCTTTGCTGCTGATCCTCCAGAAAAATATTGTTTTCTTCTCACTTGTGGCATCTAGTGTATTTTTGCCATTTTGAAACAGTGAACTTGTCACTCTTCCAGGAGTGAATCAACACAAATATTTATGGTGTTGTAAGTATGAATAAAGGAAGAATCAGGCCAGTGAACTATATGAAAAGTAAGATGCTTTCAGAAACGTTTGTTTGGTATTTAAATTTCTAATACTTTTTCCTTTGTCACAGAATGGTTATAAAAATATGTGGCTGTAGAATGACAGCTAGTAAATTTAGTCAAGCCATAACTCCAATATATAGTGTAATGTAATTAAAACATCTCAAAAGATTTTTTTAAATGTCAAAACAAAGAAAAGCAATAATAAAAAACACCTTCATTATTTTCAGCTTATACACGTCTTTATATAACCATTTTCTCAGCTGATTTTTAATAGTTCTAGAGATATCTCACCAAACACTTTCAAATGTATCTCTGAAAGGCCATTAAGAAAGAAGCCATGCCAAGGCTGCAGGGAGTGGTAACGCCTTTATTAGACAAAGTGCAAGGATGGTGAGTAAATGGTAGTAAACATAGTTCTTCTAAGCCATATTCTGTGGATTATTCTGGATTACAGTAAAGAGTTTTTCATCAGTCCTACTGCTATGAAAATGGCTATGGGATCTCTTTAAAGTGTTAGCATTAAAAATTAAATAGAAATACATCCATAAAATTTGCAGACAAAAGGGGCAGATCCTTTGATGACAGAAACTGTCATTGCTTTCAGGGGAACTAAGAAAATTGGTATCAGCTGATGAACTATCTGCAGTTTCAAGTGTCAAAGAACTACTTTGGTGTAAAACATAAGGGAAAATGTATCATTAGTTTATCTAATTATGTCTGATAACATTTATTAGGTGGTTGAATTGTTGCCAAAGAAATTAGGCTTTCTCATAAGGTCATTGTGTAGTAGAATAGATTTTTTGTTGTTGTTGTTACTTTTTCTCTTGCTCATATATATGAACTTAGCTTGGGCAGTAATATCTATCACTGCATTCTGTGTCAGCCACCGTCTTAGATGTATTCAGAGAGTCAGTAAAAGTCCAAATAAGAAGATCATTTTTTACATTTAAATTTCACTGTTTAAGCTACTGATTCTAGAAGCTGCATTTTTCAGTTACTAACAAATGCCTGTGCTACACATTGTAGCATGAAAATATTAGCTCAAGAAGTGGTTTTCTGCTATTAACAAATGAGAAAAGTGGCTGACTTTAAAAAAGCATGAGTATGGAAAACTAGTGGGCATTTTTTTGCTCTTGATAATTTAAGTATGATATAGTGAGAAACAAAGTTTAGTAAGTGTGTTTATTTTGCAATATAAACAGTAAAGATATTTGAGATGAATATTTTATATTTAAGTCTGACTTAAACATGTCATTAAAATTTCTGTACTCTGTTAAGAAAAACGAGGAAGAATTATTTTTCACTGAGTTCGAGGTTGAAAACAAAATGCTGCCCTTGCTTTTGAATCTGTGGCTTTTGCCCACTGGTCATAGCCTTAATATTATTTCAAGTCTGTTTTCTCCAATGAGAATTATATTTGAGCCCTCTTTCTCTGTGCCATTCATTAGAAACTTGTGTCACCTCCTTGTACTTACTGCACAAATTTTGAAATCTGAAGCCTCTGTACATATTTGGAGTAAGCATCAACAGCAATGGTAAAATATCACATTGTCTTGCTATGCACTGTCCACTTAAAAGTAGTATATTTTGTCTGTCTCTGTACGTAATACTGAAGAACATCCAGATCCAACACTTCATGCCACACAATCACTGTGGAGGAAATGGGCCACAGAAAAATAAGGTTCAACTTCTGAGATCTACAGTTCAAGGCTAACTTGCTAAAATCTCATTACATGTAAAATTATGCTAATTTCAATGCTGAATCTTATTCTAAATCCTGACTACATTATAAGCATGCGATTAAGTTTGGATGAGGTGAAACAGAGCAGCAGCAGGAATTAGTAAAGACAAACAAAATTCCCAACTGCGTGGGCTTTGCATGGTCCAGGATTAGACTGAAAGTTCTAAGGTAGGAAAAGGAAAAAAGAATAGTGTGTAGGAAAGGGGAGAAAAAGAAAATGGAAAAGATGAACAAAGAAAAAACTCCGTGAACATTTCCAACATATTAACCAAAACCTAAAGCTGGAATCTCCCCATCTGGTGAGCCAGTTGCCTCAACAGATTTGAACTAGTGCACAAGCCAGTGTCAAAGCTGTTTGAACAATAAATTGTTTGGGCTTGAGTGCAGTAAAGATTTATCTCATAAGGACAAAAGAAGTAAATGCTATTTCAAGCTATAAATACTTGGTTAGATTGGTACAATCCACAGGCTGGAACAGAAATACTTAACCTATGGAGATCTGGACACCAATATTACATCATAAGCAAAAGTGATTTGGCTGGTCTTTAGTGAATCTGTCTTTTTTTGCAGCTTCCGAAGCAATCTCAGGTAATAAATGTTGGACAGTAGGAATTGCACTTCCTTTCTGTGTCTATTCGCTTATATCTCACACAAAGAGTCGCTTCATGCCCTGTTTAGATCCCTGATACACCACAGAGAACCGAACTTGATAACATTTGTGTATCAGAGTTATCAAACACATTTAATCAAAACTGCTTGTTTTTCTGTTTTCACCACTGAACGCACTGACCACTAATTGGAAACCGCTTTCAGTCTAAATTGAAGTAGGATGTAAGGTCTAGTGCTCTTCTCCTGTAAGGCTGAAAAACTCATCCCAACGATAGGAATGACAAAAAGTACAATGACCCTTGAAGACAGAGGAGAATTACAGCATTTAGAATAGTATTAACCATGATGGTCAAATACTTTAAAATTTGAAAACTGTCCACAAAAGAGAGACATGGTTTCACTTTTGGCAAAGAAATTTTATTTTCATTAATTTTACTCCTTACAAGTTGTCTGATAGTAGAGCTTGACTTAGCAGACTCTTATTTCATGAAAGCATCTTATTCGTTGTGTTTGTACATTTTAACCAGATTGGCTATATTCATGTTAGCACCTTGTTGGTTGTAAGCATGCACTACAACATTTGGCATGCATTGCACTGATTGCTGAGTACAGACTCCTAGCAAGGGAACCAGGGCTAGGTGTTCATGGTTTCTGGAGTGCTTAAAGGGATTGCTAATTAATGATAAATTGAGAGGCCTTCTTCCTCTATATTTGATGTTAGCCAGTGCCCTTCCAGAGGTGTGTACTACAAAACTTCAACACAGGTGAAAAAGTGTTAGCCCACCTTCCTGATGACTCCAGTAGTCTATTCTTTGGCCATCATAGAAGAGTGGGGCAAAGTCAGACTGCAGCCTCAAGCTCTGCTCTCTTTCTCTTCACGCCACTCCATTCATTCCATCCCAAATTGCTTTCCTTACCAGAGGACCAATCTTAAAGTAAGTCAAAACTCAATGCTCCTGCTCTCACTTGCTTCTGATTTCATAGGAACATTTAGTAAGAAAATTCGCCGCATACATTTTGCAATTTGGCCATCCCTTTTTAAACTAGGATGGAAAACAAACTCAAAAGTCCTTCAGACAATCTCACCCTTTTAAGGCAGCCAGACTCCACATTTCCCTATGTATCCAGAAGGCTGAACTAATACAAGGAGGGATCTCCTCTCAAAATGGCCCTTGTTGGGCTGCTTCTGCCGTGGGTGCAGATATGGGGGAATCTTCTTGTCTAGCTCAGCTCCATTTGGAGGAAATGCTATTCTATGTTCTTGTTTTCTTTTTCTACCACTATGGAGCCTTACCTATGTGTAAACGCTCTTGAAGCACAACTGCTGATTCCAATTCTTAGCAATGTAATACAGTCCTCAGCCCCTCATATTGACAGCCTCTGTGTGCTGGGCTTTAGCTGTCATCCCCATTGTGAGTTTTAAAACTATCTTAATTAGTCAGAGAAAGATGTTTACATCCACTTGCACCTCTTTACCTAAACAAGATGATATCATGCTAATACAACCTACAAGCCATGTTTCCTGTTTAATAACCTGGAAATGCAATTGAAATTTCAATCATAATGTTAAAAAATGAATCCTTGCACTCAGGGGGTCAAAGAGACAAGCAGTGAAAACAGAAATGCTCCACTTCGTCTGGAGTTCTGAAAGAAAACACATGTTCGGTAATCATATTCCAGAAGAAAACATGTCTGAGAGACTGCTTTTCTTCAGCATTGCCTGCTTTCTTGTTCATTAAACTCACTGTAAAATATTAGGTATTTGCCTGAATTTGTACTTTCCAATGCTGCTAG